TAAAAAAAAGAGAATCTACAAAAACAACTCAAAGATAAGACTCTTCCTGTCACTGTCAGAGAGCATGCTGTTTGTAGACGTATAAGATGAGAGCTGGCTGAACATTCCCCCAGCCGGCAATGCCCCCTCTCTCTAAATGCCAGGACTTTTCCTAGAGCCATCCATACACTCAGTAAGTCCCTGGCTTGCTGAGGACTGGATTAGTCTTGCCACCAATGTCTTTATGGGAAAAGAAAATTCTCCCTGAGTTATTGCAGAAAAATTAAATTGCTAGGGTAATTCTAGAAGCTGGGTAATGGTCCACAGGGCTGCAGGCTGTGAAAGTTTTTGAGGACACAGATAATAGTCATGTGTTCCAAGTAGTCCCTGTAAGCAGTGAGGCTTTGTGAGAGGGCAAGGCCTGTGATTCTGGGGGCTGTCAGTCTGCTGCATGCTCCCAAGTTTAGACAGTAAATCTAGAGAAAGACCTTGGTCTGCACCTATGCCCCCTAGAGTGCAGCATCTCCAGGTTTTCCCTCACTATCTCCTCACTCCTTGTAGGAGTGCAGACATCAGAATGTAAGTAGCAGCCTGTGGTAGCTTGAAAGAAAATGACCCCCAAATGGAGGGGCACTGTCAGGATATATGGCCTTGTTGGAGGAATTGTGTCACTGTGGAGGTGGGCTTTGAGGTCACATATATACTCATGTCATGCACAGTGAGACATTTCCTTTCCTGTTCCCTGTAGATCAGGATGTCAAACTCTTAGTTCATTCTCCAATACCATGTCTGCCTGCATTCTGCCATGATGATAATGGTCTGAACCTCTGAAGTGTAGGCAAGATATTTAATTGTTTTCCTTTACAAGAGTTGCTGTGGTCATGGTATCTCTTCTCAGAAATAGAAAACCTAAGATATGGCTCTAACACTATTTTCAAAAAAACTACATTTATTCACTGTAACTTACAAACATCTAAAGTGATAATACCCTCCCACTCCTTGCCTCAAACCTCATCCCTGGCTTTATTGTCCAGTGCTTCTAGCCTCCTAGAACTTAGCACCAGCTGGAACAGCCCTGAGTGAGCATGAGCTCAGTGTGTTTTCTATTTCATTTTTGGTATTGGGATGCCTGGTAGAGGCAGAGTGAAACTCTGCCTGCTTTGAGGGGACATCACACAGGGGGATCAGTGAGTCTTCTATCTCTTCCAGTTGCCTAGTGACTCAAACTTCTTCTTCTGTGCCTGCAAGGGGTGAGTGAGCTCCAGGGCTGAGAGTGGCCCTTCAAACATCCCATGACAAAGCCCTGATTTGGACTTCTTACCCATTGGAGTCAAGCCTCCAATGAGAGCTCGCTTATTTGATTTGTCAGTTTAAGATGGACCAGTACTGTGGCAATTTATCTTTGAGATAAGGGTTTGGGGATACTAGCAGAGTCAGAGAGACCTGTATAGGGGCACAAGTAGCCAGACAGTTTCCATGACACCAGCCTCTAGTGGGACCACAGAAGGAAGGACAAGCTGGGGAGCTCTTCCTTGTCCTCAATGGTTCTGCCCAGTGACTCCTGGAACTCCTCCATAGCAGAAACTCCTCTGAGGCTCATTGCACATCTGGACCCTGGGCTTTGGGGATGGGCTCCTCTGCCATAGGGAACAGCAGTGGACCCAACATCTCCCAGTGAGTGTAAACACTGACAACTTTGGAAGTCAGTTAGCCTAGGCCCCCATATTTCTTCATTGGTAGCTCCAGGACACTGATGATCTAAATAAGGCACGGTAAGGAACCTTTCGGTGTACTGTCTTCCCTTTGGGGACCATGGTCATCTCTCTTTGTGCCTTGGCAGACAGTTGGTACAGAAGCATTGGAAAGTATCTGAGGGGCACCGAGATTCAGAGGTGCCCTCTTACAGCATTTCTTCTTCAAAGCCGGGCAGTACTCCTCCAGTTGCTGCAGGAGGAAATGGGCATATAAGACTCACCCAAGTCTGGAAGTGTTGCTCCAGGGGGCAAAACTTTTGGGTGGAGGTAGCTAAGGGGATAGTCAACTGTCTCTGAGTGTCAGAAACCAAGTGTCTGCTTGCTGACATTCTTGGTTCCTTGCAGCTATACACTTCACCTCCTCCCCATGTCCATACCTGCATCCCCTTCTTGTTGAAGACCCGAGCAGGATGCCTTGACTTCCTGTAGGTCACATGGTTCTTATGAGCAGTGTCCTGTCCACCTGGTGACTCTCAGCACACCACTCTATTTGGTGTCCTCCATACCCTATCCAGTTTGCCTAATGTCTCTAAATATCCAGTCTGCCTGGTGTCTGCTTGCCTCTTGCCTACCAATTACTTCTTTCTTGTTGTCCCTTATGTTCACCCTTCCCTATCTACCTGCTCAACACTGAGTTCTTCCTCATACTCCAGCTCCTTCATTAGAGACAATATGTCCATCTCTGGTTTGGAAGATAGGATTTCTGACACAAATTTAGGGTTTATTATGTCCTCCACCTATAAACAAAAGGATTAGGAGTGAGTACCGGGGACAGGGAGTTCTATGTTGCTGCAAA